AAATTTGACATGGATAATCTTGAGAGAATATTAGGACATTTGGGAGCACTTGATGTCATTTGGATGCAAGTACCTTGATGCAACACAAAACCCTAATTTGAGGTTGACTGCCTTAGGAGATAGCTTGACTGTCCAACTCTTGAGCAATCTTGAACCACTTGGAGATTTTTCTTGAAATGTCTTGGGAAATATGAGAGGGCAAATTTTGGGGTACAACAAAGTTCATTTCTGATTTTTCTATGGTCTTACTTAATATTTCTTGATTATTTTGAACATATTTGATATTTGTATCCCTTATTTCTATTTTAAAACATTTTAAAACCCTTTTTAATATATATATATATATATATATATATATATATATATATATATATATATATATATATATATATATATATATATATATATATATATATATATATATATATATATATATATATATATATATATATATATATATATATATATATATATATATATATATATATATATATATATTATATATATATATATATATATATATATATATATATATATATATATATATATATATATATATATATATATATATATATATATATATATATATATATATATATATATATATATATATATATATATATATATATATATATATATATATATATATATATATATATATATATATATATATATATATATATATATATATATATATATATATATATATATATATATATATATATATATATATATATATATATTAAATGAAATATTATTTTGTGATTATTTTCTGGCTGATCTTGGGTTTAATCTTTGATCATGAACTTTATTAACATCATTGGATCTATGGTATTAAGTCTAACTCCATAAAAGTGGATGAATGATTTTAATAATAGTTTGATTAAAATTTAATTCAAATATGGTTTGTATATTCTTTCTCACCCCTCTTCATCTTATCCCTTTCTTATTGCACTAAGTGTTATTGGAGCATTATCTCTATATCATGTCTCAAAACAAATGGTGCATATATTGTTATTGACCGACCTCAAAATATGTGCGACTTCTATATAAGTCCACTTACAATTGCTTAACATAGCGCTAAATTTTGTCCTGATTCGAATAAATGATCATTCATGGCCCAAACTTATGTTTGCAAGCTCAAGTATGTTAATTTGATCTCTTTGATCCAATAACCTTGAGATTTATTGTGTGGAGGCTTTGGTTCTACCAATCCTCTAATGGGTCAACAATAATTTTGGTCAACGCGGATCACTTAAACATCGTTGATCATTAAATGGTACTTTTGAGGATTCCAAATGGATGATATACTTGACGAAAATCAAATGAAATTTGTTGTGTGGAGGCTTTGATTCTACCAATCTTCTAATGAGTTCCAAATGCAAGTTTTAAGATGGTCATCCAACTAACCACTAATTATTAAATTATTTTACTTTATGCTTTATGTACCATTTACTTTAAGCATTACATTTCATGCCATTTTTATTTTTGCTCACTTGAGCATTTATATTCTTGTCATTTTTATTTTGCTCACTTGAGCTTTTCTTTTCTCTTTTAAGACACCTAATAATCAACATGAACCATAAAATGCTTTAATGATGCTTGGACTATTGGGTTACTATCTTTGGCATTGTGGAGTATTGGATTTCTTGGACTTAGGATTAGAGGCCTTGACCTATGTTGGAGACCTTGTGACCCTAATTGATATTTTGTCTAGAGTTCTTGAGGTTTACCTCAGGATATTGGGTTGTTTGTTTGTTTTGTGTACAGGTTATTGTGATTACATTCTTTGTTTGTAATATGGAATTCACCCGTATACAACCGTTACTCTGCCCAATTTTTGTGAAGACTCGATACACTTGAAGTTTGGTTCTCTCAAGAGGTCTAGTATCTTCATTTGTTTGGTTTCAATCCAAGGAATATTAATTCTATCTAATCCAAGGAATTTAAATTCTATCTTGACTCATAATGTCAAGTATTGGCTTCTTGTTGGTTAGACAGTTTTTATCCATAGCTTTTACCATATGCCTTAAGATAGTCTCTTTTCCTCCCATCTTCTTTAATTTCAAAAATATTCTTCCTCCTTTTAAAAACTCTTCTTGTTTTGAAACTTGAACCATGTTCATAATAAACTTGGACTTATGTCCATTCATTTTCAAAACATATTTTTATAAAAAAATTTCAATTAACTTAATAATACCTTGACATTTTTTTGTAAGAAGACTAAAAGTCAATC